TCTGCTCTTTTGAAATACTACTTATTTTTCACTAACAAGAACTGTGCAGTTGGTGAATTTTGCAGAAAAGTTAATTTTTTGTCATTACTGGTAAATATATTATGAAACACACATTCAACACAAAAGTAAAAATCTCCATTTATACTTAGTGACAGTTCGTTACCAGAAAAAGGCCGCTTATCTCGTAACGCAAAATGAAAAACAAGTTATAGAGTTTATAAAACATAAGCTCTTTCGAAATAAAGCTTACCTGATTAGATACAAGACATTTACCGTTGGCAAATTTTGCAAAAGTAAAAATCTGATGTTCACTTCGTGGCACTTGGTTACCAGTAAACACACTCATCTCTTAGCAACAGATTAGCAACAAAACTTGTTATTGTTCAAAAAACACAAGATTTCTTCTGCTCTTTTGAAATACTATTTATTTTTCACTAACAAGAATTGTGCAGTTAGTGAATTTTGCAAAAAAATGTTGGGTTTTTTTGTTTGTCATTAGTGGTATTTTAAAACAGACATTCAACACAAAAGTAAAAGTCTGATTTATACTTCGTGGCAGTTCGTTACAAGTAGAAAACGCTCATCTCTTAACACCAAATTAATTATTCTGTGTTTTTTTTAGGTGTAGAGCAATAGGTGCCTTACATGCATTGCATGGAAGCATTGAAAACAGTGTAAACATTGGTGTTTATGCTATGACAAAGATGGACTTTGTTTATTACAGGTTACTTCTGAAATGCTTGATTTCACCCTATTTTATTTTGGGGTGTCTGGGTAATAAAGACTGTTCTCAAATGCGCCCCAGATTTTTCAGTTAAAAAATAAATAAGTAACATGATAAGATTATTTTTGATTCCCCGAATAAAATATTAGGCTGCAGTGATTTGATCTACCAATTAAACTATAATACGTAACCAATAGGTGAAACATGACAAACTATGGCTCAGTTCAAAGAGTATTTTGTAGACTACTCCATTACAGTGATGGAAGAAGACTTTATAACTGCAGATTACATCAATAGGCAGCTTAATGAAAGCCAAGTGTCAAATAAATTAAATAAAGCTTACCGTAATTTGCGCTGAAATAAAACGCATGAAACGAAACTTCCACAGGTAGGACGTATTTTAGAAACAGCAGGCCCTGCTGACGTATTTATAAGAAATCTGCTGAGTAAGCAGTATGTGACGTAGCATCGATGTGCGCATGCGCGTTACTACACGGTAGGACGGATTTAAGGGTAGCACTGATAGTCAGAACCATAGACATAATATACGAATATATTATGTCTATTATGTTTATATTATGTCCATGGTGGCTGCTATGTTCTACTGAGTTTACTTTCTTCAACAAAGAAACTTAGGACCCCAGGCTGCCCTAAGCGCCTGTTAAAAACTGATCCCTTTCTAAACTCATTTCACTCTCAGCCAGAACAGTTACCATAACAACATATGTATGAATGTGCATCTTAACACGGACAATGAAACACAGTGCTTTTAAATAACAAAAACAAAAATATTCATAGGAAAGAGAATAGAATCATATTTTAATAGAGGGAGGGGGGAGGTGTCTTGATCTAAAGTCCTCACTAACTGGTCCCCCACATCTCTTTTTAGCTTTCAGCAACTTTTGGCCTGAATTCAGCAAAAAGAATGTGAAAAAAATCAATGTTAACTTCTGTGAAAATAATCTGTGAGACTGCTCTTCTTTCAAAGAGAATGGGGAAAACGGTCACAGTGTATGATCATGACCGCTTTAAAAGACCAGATGAATAAATACCTTATTTTCCGCACTAAGGCACACTGGATTATAAGGCGCACCTTCAATGAATGGCCTATTTTAAAACTTTTTTCATAAGGCGCAAAGAATAGACGCTACAGTAGAGGCTGGAGTTACGTTATGCATCCACTAGATGGAGCTGCACTAAAGGGAATGTCAACAAAACAGTCCCACTGTGGTGGGCAAGGAGAGCCTTCTGCGACTGGGCCGGGGCGTGGCTGGACGATGGTCACCCTTCTCCGTTCGTGCACAGCATGTTTGTGGAGAACGTGGTGCTAAATGACCTGCAGATGACCTGATTATTAACGGTCGGTAGATAGATAAGTCAGTCAAACTTTATTAATAGATGACAAACCAGCGTTCTGACAACTATCCCAGCATAAACCGCGCGCTTCTTCTTTTGCGGGTGAAAATGAAGTAGGCGGCTGCTTACCGTAGTTGCTAGATCTGTTGTGGCTCAATATTGGTCCATATATAAGGCGCACTGTCGGCTTTTGAGGAAATTGAAGGCTTTTAGGTGCGCCTTATAGTGCGGAAAATATGGTAATTGTAAATAATAATGCAAAACATTTTTGCCAAATCAATACAGAAATGGAAAACAGCCACTCCTTTTCTATGGTCATCTTAGTTTTCAGACCAACCCCGGAGACACATCTTTCTGTGTCCTAAAACTTTGTAAAATGTAACAGAAGACGTTAAGTGTCGTTCTTCTGACAAGAGGGAGTATTGTAAGCAAGGGTAGCAATAATTATTTCTGGTAATTTTGTAAATGAAATGTTTCTTCTAAATGTTTCTGCATGGAAGTAATCTGTTGATGTAAAGGGGTACATGGAAATGGAGTTGGACCTGAGTCCATACTCGTGAAGTTTTTTGGCACAAAGCAATAAAACGTTTTCTTTTTCCCTTCCCTCACAAAATTCTCCCACGTGTTTCAGCTCATTAACGCATTCGTGCGTTTCATCTGTTCACACCGTGTTGCATCTTAATAGGCCTTACTTCACAGCCATCGCACCTTTGTTCCCTCTACATAAAACAGCGGGTTGTCAACAATCGCTTTATGTTATTGTATAGACCGTGAGTCACAGCGTGACAAACACCTTCATTTCTACATTCGTGTCCTCCAACAAACACAGCTCACCTGTTTAAAATGGTGATTCACTCAAACTGTGCTCTCCAGAGAGAGACTGTGTTTGCTGTAAACACTGAAAATGGTTTCATGTGGGGTTTCCCTGGTGTGCTCATATGTTGTGATCGTGTACAAAGGTTGTTCTATGCTTCGATGCATGACAAGTTTCGATTTTGGCTCCTATATAACTTCTTTTGTTTTTCTAATTTTCTTCATGCATTTATGGTGTTTGGCTTTCATCTGTTAATCTGAACTGTCGGTGAGTCAACAGGCAACTCCCGCAGATGCACACAAATGCCTTGTTTGCCACACCAGTCAAACAAATATCTGCGCTGATGCAAGAAGACAAGACAGAAACAGGAGAAACAGAAACAGAACGGGCATCAAGAAACAAAGGAAAGCAACTAAGCGGAAGCAAAACCCCCTCCTTGTCGCACACCTTTGTGGGCAGCCTTTCTTGTAGCCCACCTTAGAAAAACATCCGTGCCCCCACACGACGCTGAGCCTTGTGTTTCCTTCTGTCTTTAATCTTTGCGAAAAGAGCTTTTAACAAGTTCAGGGAGGATGAGTGGATCTGCCAAAGCAGAACAAAGGCAGGGAGGAACTCTGAGGGATAGCAGCAGAAAGGGAGGCTCTGTAATTTATCACCTGTTGCCCTTAGGCTGCCCGGCACTCCAAGCTCTGGGCTCTTTTTTTTTTTTTTCTTCGTTTGTGTGTATGAAAGCAGGCATGAAGAGGTGATGAATGGATACATTAGGGGGGGTGGAAGGAAAGGACAAGGACACAGTTATAATTCGCTCCTAACACAGACAAAAAAAATATTCGGCCAAGGACACCTCAGTTCTGCATGCCTCTCTGTAGCACAGGAGCATCCTGATGTGTTTATATACTTGTTTTGGGGCCAACAAATGGAAATTAGGTAGAGCAAACAGAAAAAAAAAGTTTCCCAAAGAGACCAATTTAAATACATTTTAAAATTGACACAAAATGCTGTTTAAGAGTAATATTTTCTTGCGACATTATAGGAAGAGCTCTGGACTGTTGTCATGCTCATCAAAGTAGGTTAATCTACTTTTTGCTGTCTCAAGAAAACTCTGGATGTTTCATTATGTTTTTCTGCCACCCAGTGGCTTAGATAGGCACTCACAGGAGTGCATATCAAAGCACTTGACTTGTGCTTAGATATGTATTTTATTGAATAGTATTTTATGGTAATTTTTCATAAGATACTGAGAAATACCAGTCAGGCAAGCAGGGGAACAAAACAACTCCAAAACAAGTTTGTGTTTTACTTTTACATGCTGCATTTAAAATCGCTGTTGTGTCTATTGTTGCATATTTGGCCATTTTGTTTGTCATTTTACTTTATATGCAAGATTGCTCAGTGAGCATGGAGTGTCTGGGATGTTTCTAAAGGTTGGTTCTATGATAAGAAACAAGAGCTATGTCCCAGTGGGCCCTGGCCTTCGTGTTTGTACAAATAAGCCATATCCTTTAGCAGAATATCAGAAAGAGAGAGTATGTTTTTTGATGCTGCTTAATAATATTGCAATCTATTTATAGTCTTTCACACATGGTACTGTACAACCTCTGTTGTTGAACATGTTCCTTTTGTGCTTCAATTACGAAATTGCAAAAAATTAAAAATAAAAGTAATTATTGTTGGTTTATATTGTAAGTTAACTTGTAAAATATCAACCCATTCGTTTCCCTAACAACCGAAGGTAAATCGGTTTTTAATAATGGAAAAATCTAGAAAGATAGTGACTGTCATCTAATGTTGCATTTAAGGGATCTGTTCTAATTTCTAATTTAAGCTTGTTTAAGTGCAATTAAAATTTTTAAAAAGAAAATAATTTTGAAATCAATTTTTTATGTGTTTCATCTGATTTAGAAATGACTGAATGTGTTTTAGTTCAGCCAACAGATAGGACGTCAAAGGGTAAATTAAACTTGTGAAACTTTGCTTTTAACAAAGCTTGTGAAACTCGACTCCGACATTTTCGCGGAAAATTGAACGCCACATAACTTGAACGCCGATGACGTAAACACGTAAACTGCAGTGTTTGGTTGTGGTCGGAACAGAGGAAGCGAAGAAGGGGATCAAGGAAACCTCTAGCATCGTAGATAAACACCCCTGAAGACGTGTGAACCCAGCGGTCACACAACTGTAACTACACCAAAAAGAACCGTAAAAGGGTCCTTGACACAGCGAGGGTCAAGATGTCTGAGACATACGGTAGGTTTGGTGTGTAAATGTAGTTGTTAAACGTTCATGGCTCTGTCCTGTATTCCTATGTGACAGGTTGACTCTTAGCAACGCCGCTAGCTAGCTTGGTGTAAATACAGCCGACGAGATGTTTCATTGCGTTTATAATGAGTATTTTAAACTTATAACTATCATTTAATTGAATTACTTTGAGACCTCTGCGTCTGTTAGCTAACAGTCTAGTCCTGCAATGGAGGATTATGTTGCCCCGTTAAGCAGTCTGTGTAACGTGAGCAAACAGATGGAGAGACGTTGTAAGTGAAAGTTGACCAAACTTCTGACGAAATGCAACAGCTCTTTGTCGGGCCACAAAGATGGTTCTTGCAGAAAATCCGATAATCTGGTTGATTGAATTTTAAGCCAGAGGGATCCACGTTGGCTACAGTGACCTCCCCGTATTTTTGAGTGGTGATGGTTTAATAAGAAGTAGCCTTTAGTCCGAGGCCGAGAAAGAGGAAGCTCCGCGGAGCTACGGTTCATTATGCCGCAGTTACCTGTAGATCTGCAGCAGCTAAATGTGTCGTGCATCAGTTCCCCATCCCGAATCAAAACAACTGCAAACTTCTCCTTTTCATAAAGCGGGAGATGCGTAAAAACCCAGCCGCTACCGTTTCAATTTCTTTTACTTGTGCTAATATTTGCCAGTTTCCTGTTCGCCTTCGACTCTGTCTGATACAAGCTCCAAAAGCACACATCACAAATGTTTTGAAATGCCACACCATCATCACCCTCTCCTGTTGCACGCCCAGTCACACTCTCGCCGTCTGTATCTACTTGAATTCCCCTCGCCGCCTCACTTCTTGTATGAAACTTCATCCATGGGGGTTGTATCTATGAGGAAAAGTGCCAGCACTAATGGTAGCTGTAATGGCCTTTCATCGATTTCTGCCTCAGTCTCGCTACACCGTCTTCACTGAAGGATCGGTTCTGCAAATGGCGAAAGCATCATGAAGCAGTGGTTGCATGTTAATTGGATGCAGTAGGAATTTATGGAATATTTAATTCATGTTTGCGTGTTATTGCAATGGAGTTGTCTGTGGAACATGTTTAAAATTACAGAATGAGAGACGTTTAAGGTGAAATCTGAGTTCCTACTGATGTTGCAAATCTGGATGAGAACGGCCAAAAAAAAAAACCTAAATCTATCCATCTAGCTATCCATCTACTTGTCCGTCTGTCTTCCTCATTCATCCACTCACCATTCATTTAATGATTTATTCACTCATCCAGGCTCTTTGTCCATTCATCTGTCTGACCCACCAGTCATTCATGTCCTTTGTGCCTAGAGAAGGGCAATATGGACTTAAAGTTTTATCACAGTATTTTTGCAGTACTATTGTGATAACAATAAAAATGACAATAGGAACTATTTGTTACTTATATTTTAGGTAACTGTCTGGCTCTGACTGCATGACAGAGCAGTCGTAGTCCGACAAACACAGATGCTGCTTTTGAAAACCATGTCCATTTGGAATGCTCCTCTTTCGGACACAAATCACATAAACAAGTGTGATTTGTATCACTAAACCGCATATGGTAACTGCATTTAGTCATGCTTTTTGATTTATTGATATGTATTTCAAACATCATTAATTGGACTTTATTGTGACAATGATGAATGAAAATTCCTATAAGAAACGATACATGATGCAAGACACGATAAATGCTCATCCCTATTCCGTCATTCCTATCATTTCCTCATCTCTTGCCGTACTTTTGCCTCTTGACTATAAGTTCCTAAAATTTGAGTCTGGATAAAGCCTGGCATTTTAACAAAGAGTTTTGTAGGAACCCTGGAAATACCTGCTTGATGCCTTTCTTTTAAGCAGCAATGTTAACAAATCAGTTTTTGTTCAAGCTATACAAAATGGTTCTGAAATCCAAAATATAGAAAAGATTTTTTTTTTTTTAAATCGTGTGTGTGGTGGCGTTAGTTTTTGTAATACTTATTGCTTAATTTAGGCAACATGTGTCCAGATGCCAAATTTTAATCTCTAATTGAAAGCATTTCATGTACAACTTCCACAGTCACTTTGACAACTCGATGGCTATTTGCAGTTCTTATGAGGCAAGGTATAAGGTATGATGTCTGAAAAGCTGTGGCAAGCTTTTAGAACGGAAATGTCACCTTTTTATCTTATGGAAACTGTGTGTTTTGCAGCAAAACACTTCAATGCATTCACTGCTGCTAATCAGGTGGAATAAATCTGACCTCTAGCTGGTGTTGTTATTGGAAACGCCCGTCTCAACAATGATGCACCATAAACTGAGCTGGTGAAGGTGGCTCCAAAACCGCACAATAAGTAAATCTCGCAGAAAGACAGAGTTTGCATTATACTGGTGAACAGCTCACAGGAGCTGGGTAGCCTGAGTGGTCTGCCCTTGATCCTGACAAGAAAACCTGTTGGAAGCTGCAAAATCGTTGAGACTGGGTTTGGAGGGGGCATCTTTCCAGCGAGCAGAAACTCTGACATGATGAGGACCTACAATTAAATGGTTTAATTCAAAGCTTTTTCAGGTGTTGGTATGGCCCAGTCAAAGTCCAGGCCCAAAGCCAACTGAAAACTTGTGGCAAGATTTTGAACAAGGCTGTTCACTGACGCACTTCATCCAGGCGAATGAGTCTGAAATATTTTACAAAGAAAGTGGGAGAAAATTTCAGGGCTAAACAGTATTAGAAGTGCTCATAATGCGATTATTGAATATTCCAAGGACGATTTTGTCAACAGTAATTTTTCTTTTTCATTAATACAGTTTTAGTGACCATAGCCATATCATATACAAAACTTATTAATCATAAGTGGGCATCTAGGGCGGTTAGACCATCCATCTGGATAAATATGTAATTGCTATGCTAACTGTGAAAACTCGACTGTTTACACAAAATCATATACAAACCAAGTAGTCCTTTCAGATTGTATCATTGCTAACTTTGATATGGCATTGAGAGTTAAATTGAAACCTTGACAGACTTTCAGTGAAAGGTGGTTCAACAAAATATTGACTCAACGGTTCAGGTTTTAATCAGCTAAACATTTTGGAAGCCGTTTATTATTTTTCTCTTTTGCGTCATAGGTGGCCGCGCACAATTCCTCCGATCGATATCTTCAAAGTTTTTGTCTATGTCCAAGTTTGTTTGTTTTTTTCACCGTGAGACATGAAGAGTTTGCTTCACTAAAACCATTTTCAACCTCCGACAAACAACCGCAGCCTGTACAGCCTCAGAGATTCACATGCAAGGTTTTCTGATTAGCAGGGCGATTGGAGGTTGGCGGATGCAGTGAAAGTAATGACTTTAACAGGATTAGGAGTTTATCCGAGGCTTGTCTCTGGTGCAAAGAGCCGACAGCCAATCTGCTGCCGACGTCGATGATTGAGCTCTGCCTCCTCTCGTCTTTTTTGCAGACTTCCTGTTCAAGTTCCTAGTGATCGGCAGTGCTGGTGCGGGGAAATCCTGCCTCCTCCACCAGTTCATCGAGAACAAGTGTAAGTCTCAGTGAAAAGAGGTCAGCCGTCCTCCTTCCGAGAGGCAAGAAAAAAAAGATTCATTGACTCACTGAAGAATGAAACCACGACGGTGTACGCCAGTCCTGTTGTCTGACATTTAGTGCAGGGTATTGATAACTATACTGTACATATTGTACTCCGCAGCTTGAAACTAGACAGTTTTCTACATTTTGATTTTAGAGTATGTGATAAAAATTACACTTTTTGAAAGCACCCTGATTGTTTTGACAGAACAGAACATTATATCTTCATAAAAGTCAATGTTGTTCAAGTGTATATAATAAACCTGTCACTCAGAATGAAAGGGACGTTTTGTAAAACAGCATTTAAACTGTTAGACTATAAAACTGTCGAGATAATGTAAGCAGTACAGTTAGCTCCAAGGATCTCGCTTAAATAAAACTTTACATTGTAAATGTTTCAAGTTTTCACATGAATCTCTAGTTTAGTGAATGTTTCAGTTTTTCCTAATGAGATCAGGAGAGATGCAGGAGTCTGAACAAGTATTTTCCCACTTAAAGATTTCAGATTTTTGTCACACACTTCAAACAAAGTTTGCAAATCCAAAAGTTTCAAACGCACAACACAATAACGGCAGATGACATCAGGTTTAAAATTGTGGGAACACCTATAAAGCTGTGTCCTTCTTTACTGCAGTGTAAACTGCATAACTATGACATTTCTTTGTTTTTAATCTATCCCATCTCTCCTGTGCAGTCAAACAGGACTCCAACCACACCATCGGCGTGGAGTTCGGTTCCAGGGTGGTCAATGTCGGCGGGAAGACGGTCAAACTGCAGATCTGGGACACTGCCGGACAGGAGCGATTCCGGTAACGTCTCGTGAATCTTCCTGCCGAGGTTTCGGCAGTCTGTGAGCGAGATGGAGGGGTTTTCATCGAGCCCCACACGCAGAGCGACAGTCAGGCTCGTCACAATAGCAGATTTTGCTGGGCGATAAATTGTCCCTGAAGTTATTGCGATAAACGATAATATTGTCACTTTGAGACCATTTTCAAATACTGTAGTATAATAATAGTAATGGCATATTAATGTAAGTACAAAGTGTTTCATTTCTAAAGAATATTTAGGACGTTTAACATGTAAAAATCCAAAATAAACAAACAGAAATAGCTTACGAAGGATCTGTAACCAAAATTTAGTTTCAAAAAGTATTTATCTGTCAGCGTACACAGGCAAAAGTGTCAGGTAGGATTTTTGTAAAAATAAATAAATAATAATAATAAAAACCACATCGTTCTGGATGTCAAATGTTTGCAGCATTTTTCAAAATGTCGGTTCTTCAATGATATTAAAGTGGACCATCTCTTTGACAATTGTTCAAAAGGAAATTATTAAGCTAATTTTAATTCGTCGTGCGACTAGTTGAATTATTGCCTACTCTGACAGTTCGTTTGCTCTCTGAAATTATTTTAGTGTATTGAAGTCGAGTATTTACGGGAAGAGAGCGTTTTTGTCTTACGTTGCGTCTTTTCACAGTTCTGTGACACGCAGCTACTACAGAGGAGCAGCTGGAGCCCTCTTGGTCTATGACATCACCAGGTAATCATTGCACTCGTTAACCTCACTTCCTGTTTTTTTTTTTTTTTTTAATGTCCTCTTATACTTGAAATGATCTGTGTTTATTTAAAAAACAGAAGAAAAAAAACAACTCCGTGATGGTAGCCATCCAAAAGCAAATCATTTTGATCTGTTGCAGTTGCATCTGGCTGGACTCAAAATTGAAACGTACTGATGTGTGAAGCCCAAACTGCAAATAGTTTTCTGCTCTACTCACTTTAGATTAATTTCCTCTCTGTCTGTTTTTATAAAATATGAGTCATAACTATTATAGAGTCTCCATAGTCGAAAATGACTTAAGTAGATGCAGTGAGACATGAAGACGAAGAATAAAGGGTTTGTGAAATTGAGGGAGGGGAGCGAGGCAGAGAAGGAATGCGATCCAGTTTGGAGTTTCTGTCACCAAAGGGAGGTCTCATCTGTGGGCAGCAGGGAAGCAGGCGGCATTCTTGGACTTAGGGAAGGAGAACGACCATGGGAAGCAGATTGAGGTCGAGTCGCCTCATTTCATCGCCGTGCGGACAAGCAGTTACATCAGCCCGTGCTTGTCGGTGAAAACAGCTGTTAAACATTAATATACAGGCCTACACCCTGTTTTACCTCACTGACCTCATGTTGCCATAGACACCAAGGCACGCAACGGGCTGTTGTTGAGCAATATTATGTGTGTCACGTACCGCTACGTATGTATGTGGTAATTACCAACACGTCAACACGGGGAAAAGGCTTAGATGAACCGCCATATCTTAAAGGTTTGCAGTTGGGCCGCTGCAGGATCTTGTTTTGCTATAATCTTCTCCACAACGTTCCCTCTGTCCTGCCTGCTTTGTTTCTTGGTCTTCATGATGCCATTTCTTCCCACTCATATAGTCATTGTCAAGTTAAAAATGATGAAATGCAAGTTTGTACTTTTAATCGAACGAAATCTGGAAAAAATACCCTTTGTTCGTTTCATACTCTGCACTAAAACTGCATTCAACTTGTCGCGTTACAGCCGTGAAACGTACAACGCGCTGACCAACTGGCTGACGGACGCACGGACACTAGCGAGCCCCAACATCGTCATCATCCTGTGCGGAAACAAGAAAGACCTGGACGCGGAGAGAGAAGTGACGTTCCTGGAAGCCTCGCGGTTTGCTCAGGAGAACGGTAACTAGCGTTGGGTTTATCTCGCAAAACGTTTCGCGGCTGTATTCGACTCGTGAAATTCTACCCGCACGTTTTTGCCTCGTACTCAGAACTAATGTTTCTGGAGACGAGCGCTCTGACGGGTGAAAACGTGGAGGAGGGATTCCTGAAATGCGCTCGCACCATCCTCAACAAGATAGATTCAGGTACACATTTAATTGGTTTGGTAAAGACGGGGACCTCTGCCAGAGTTTGGATATGTTTAATTTACTTTTCTTTGTTGACATTTTCTTTCCTTTTGGTTCCTTTTTTCTAAAGGGGAGTTGGACCCCGAGAGGATGGGCTCAGGAATCCAATATGGAGACGCCTCACTGAGGCAGCTGCGGCAGCCGAGAGGCACGACGACGCAAAACAAGCAGCAGTGTAACTGCTAGGGGTCGGACTCCGTCCTTACTTGAACCCGCTGGCCCATACGGAGAGACCGCCCCCTACAGGTAGGTAGCGAGACATCAACCGAGGCTGGATCACATCACTGTACAACTCCCTGAAACTGATGAGACAACGTCCGTTTCTCCTGCAGCTCATCTCCAGGTGTTTTTGGGTGTGTGCGACTGCTGTCTCATGCACTTTAGACCACCTGGATCAGTGTTGGTGGGTTGGGGGGCACTACTTTGATGACCCCTGACCTCCAACCTCTGGTAAGCCTCCTTACCTGAGTGGTTCAGGTTTTTATCCCGCATCTGGACTGCTTAACCCCCCACACCCCTCCCTCTCGGTGCGAAGACGGTGCGATCACAAAGAAGGCACTCCGTCATCAGATGCCAGAGGAGGACAAGTCAAGGGTTGTTTGTTTTGAGCTTCTCTCCTGTCGTTTTTACGTCTTCGCTTTCCCACGCTGGTTTTAAGCCACCCTAAGATGTTTTCCTGCATTTGCACTTCATTGACTGTAAATGATTGTGAAGCTCCTTCGAGCATTTTCATCACTCGGCCTCCGGCCGATTAGTTAATCAAAGCAAATCGTAACCGATAGTGACTCTGTGATAAACGGTCTAAATGTGTACTCTCAAAAGAGGTCATCATCTTCCTCCATAGTTTGGCTTAAAAATGTCGTATTCAGGTTTCTATCAGACGCCACGTCTGTGGTTTGTCATCTTATGATGCTTCTCATTTGATCAGAAAATTGAAGAGTAGTGGGGTTCGGGTGGAGCTCAGTCAGACCCAGAGTGTTCAATCGTTGAGTGTCTCAGTGGAAAATGCTTGGTTTTTGAATTGCAAATGCACCGTAATGACGTAGAGCGATGGCTTTTAGGTTATGCTCCATACTTTAAATCCACAGTTTTGGTCAGACGTTTGCATCCTTTCATCCACCACATTGATTCTGTTCTGTCTTTTTTTTCTGCAGTGATTATATACCATACAGTTGCAATGAGTTTTAGAAGCAAGAATTGGGAGCACCAATGTGAATTGATTGCGGCTTTATTTTTTTTTGTAGTCCACACAGCGTCAAAAATTACATGTAAACCCTCAAATATAAACACACAGTAATATTTGCATACGTTTCTCTTTGGGTGATGCAGAGAAACTACAAGTTTTGAAGCCATAAAGACAATAATTCTGCCTGGACGTTTTTGCCAGTCTTCTCAAATTTGTTTCGGGACGGCTCAGATTCTTTGAGCAGAGTTTTCACATCTTCAGTAGGGTTCAGATCTGGAATCTGAATCAAGCTTCAGATTCCAGAAGCTTGATGTCAGCCCGCTTTATCAGCTCCAGAACCAGTTTTTTTATCTGCGTTTTGAATCGCTGTCCTGTTTAAAAACACTCAGTTGTGTCCAAGTTTGAACCTACTGTTGATCTGAGACGAAGCTGAAGAATTTGTAGCTAGTCAGCCGTCTTCTTTTTTGTACCCATTTTATGCAGCACCAGCATAAACGGCAATGAAACAGACATCAGCATAATGCTGCCACCACCGTGCTCGACAGTTTGTTCTGTGTTCTTGGGTTTTTAAGCCTCACCGTGTCTCCTCTAAACATGCTCCCCCTCCACAGTTAAATCTTTGACTCTTCTCTCCTTGTGTTCACATTTCCGTCGAGGTTAAAGGTCGTGACAGTGGAGCGACCATTGTTTGTTTGACAATGGTGTCCCAGCATCTCTCTGAGCTTTCTGGGTGATTCTTGACCAGCCTAACCAATTTCCTTTCATTGAAGCTGATAGTTTGGGTAAACCTATTAAAATTTATTTAATAAGCTGGCCCAGTATCCAATCAGAATTATTATATATGCACACTTGTATTTACAATTTTACATCTTCACAGGTGTTGTTTCCGAAGCCATTCAAGCTGTATGTTCTATAATCATTTTATTCTCCAAAGAACACTTAAAACAACTAATTTCAGCCCAAATTAAAAGGCGACTATCTGACCTAAACTGTGTTTTACTCCACCGTTTCACTCCCGTCCACGTCAAAGTGCAACAAAGGGGAAATTTGATTCCCAAAGATTCCAAACATGTAAATATTGAGCCATATTAAAAAGTTAAGGCGGTAAGACCTCTGTGATGTCTAGTCCTAATTTACTGACAGATTTGGAGTCGTTTGCCTTTTTATTTTAAAACCAGTGTTGTGCTCCTCTTCCTGGGCTTTTTCCTTCACGAGCTCCCAATGATCCACACTGCTCTCCACGCTAATGCTGGATCAGGAATCTGACGGCGAGCACAGCTTCCTGCTGTTGGAAGTTTTCACGCTTCCTCAGATTCGTCATCGAGCTTCGCGGTCAAATATTCATGTGTGGTTGTGTGGGGAAGTGATGATTCAGAAATCTGTTTGCAGCCTTAAAAGTAACTACTTAAGCACACAAACTATAAATAAGTATTAGGGTTATTTGGAGGAAGAAGAAAAAGGTAGATTTTTTTTTTTTATGCATTTTTCTGAATTCCCATTTGAGAATAAAGTTGAAATGTCGAGAATAAAGTCAAAGAGCTTTGTAGGAGTGTCAAAAGTTTCATTTGAAAATAGTCAAAATATTGGGGGGGAAAAGCCATTTTGGTAAGATTAGAACATTAGAGAGTTGAAATGTAAAAAACTTTCAAGAACATGTGACATATTGAGAAAAGACAGATTACCTTTTCAAATTGTTGTGGGAAAAAGAAAACCTTTTCAGAAAGAAAGAGAATGTCAAAGGAAAATTGGAACTATCAAAAATTGAGGTTAAATGTGGGGGGTTGGGGGGGGGGCATATTTTCAAAGAATAAATTGTACAGGTGAGGAAAACATTGAGACTGTAATTGTTAAACCAAACAAAGACCCACAACAGTTGTACAAAAAAAAGAAAAAGAGCTGCTTTAACACAACACAGCAGTTTGGAGTTTTGTCCGTTGTTCTTTCCACTCTGAATTTTTCAAATATGAAGTAAGATTTTGACACTCTGGGAAAATTTCAAACTTATTCTTGATACTATGACTCGATATTTCAACTTAAAAAAAAAATCTGTTCTAGATTGTTTTAGTGAGCCAACTCAGGTTATAAATTACTTTGTTGGGTGGGAAATGGAAGCAGAATTTCCACTGAAAGTGTTTCCTCTGTCTTCGGATCACCGAGGCAGACATTCTGGTGATGCTGGGTGGGGAATCGGGTTCCAACCTCAGTACCTTTCCAAACCCCCCACCACCACCTTTCTACTAAAGAGACGGGCACTGCTTGTGTGAATCGCCCATCCAATGGTTGATGAAAGCAGCCAGCTAAACGTTTGTCTTTACCCTGAATTATGAGGTTTTGTCCCTCCAGGCTCACGGTGGATATTTTAACCCGAGTGAGTCGGCACACTGAAGGGAAACTCGGGGGGGGGGGGGGGGGGGGGGGGCTTTTTTGTGTTTTTTGGGTATAAAGGGGGGGGAAAATTTTTTGTTT